CCTGGAAATGGAAAGTCAGAAACCAAGACTCTTCCCTCTGTCTTTCAGTCCTCCTTAATTCTCTCTTCTAGTCTTTTTTCTAATTATCCATTTTCCACACGAGTCAACTAGTTGTCATTCTCTGTATGTCACCAAACATTGACCTTCCACTGCTAACAGTCTCATTATCTGTTGTTTGGAAGGAAAGAAGGGCTTTGTTGAATCCAAGAAATCTTTAAATGCCAGACAACACACATCACTGGCCATTAAGCAGTCAATGGACTGGCTCCAATAGGGACCCAACAGTTCACAAATTACATTAAAACTGTAGTTGTCTCCTGAGATTTCTTAATTACATTGGTCTTCTAAATCTGAATAAAATGTGATTGGCCAATGCAGAAAATGTGTACATTTTAGGGATTCTTCATACAGTCACAAGAAATGCTCCACAATTTGTCATTCTAGTGCCATGATTTTATAGAATCCTACCACTTTGATGTGATATGTTTCTGCATGTTGATATTTCTCCACCCCGCACCCCATCCCCTAAAAAAAGACTTTAACAGTTTAGAAAACTGTTAGGAAATGAAAGGCCACAATGAGAATTATTAAATGTTTTCATATAATTATATGAAACAACATAACTTCTTGTCCAAATTAGGTGCTAATCTTCTGACATGCTCACCTATCAAAGTAATGTGATATCCCAATCACATAAATTCCCAATCACATAAATTCAAAGTAGAAACATAATAAATGGTAGATATCAAAAGGCCAAAATTTCAAGTAGTCTGAGACTATATTGTTCTTCTGAAAGTTAGACATGATCCTACAGATAAATATGAACAAAAAGGGAATGAGACTATTGATCCTGACTGAAGGATGAGGTTGACATCTCAACCTAGATCATGACCAAACAAAATTAGGCAAATTAAATTCCATGTTAAGAATGTCTTGTGCTTTTCAGTATGTCTTCCTTATTAAATGGAACACATAAAAATGAAGCAATGAGAATGAATAATATGAAGCTTAACAGAAAAGGAAACATGACACATAGTTCATACGATAAAGCAAAACTTGAACTGGATACAAAGAAAATCTTATAAAAGACCACAAGGCAATAATGAATTACTTCTCATGATCACAAACAGAAGTAATCTTTCTGGATTATCTCAATCAGGAGCACTTGGAAGCAGCAAAGAAATTTATGCCTAATGGTAAAGGTCTAAAAGGCTCATTATATTTCTGAGTGAGAAATAAATACAGGAAGGTATAATTCCATACAATATCTGTTATCTTTACCACCTGGACTATTTCAGTGTCTGCAGTAAAACATAGATACCATTCTTTATATTTAAAATAGGAAAGAATTACAAGACCATATAACAACTCATTTTAAAATAATAACTTCTAGAATATTTGTCCTTCCTATTCTTATTTCATAACTGTCTCCAAAATTATTCTAAGATATTCTATAATATATATAGAAAGTAATAAAATAGCAACTGTACCTTAGAAGATCAGGTAGTGAGTGAAAGTTGCTTGGCGACCCCACAGACTGTAGCCCACCAGTCTCCTCTGTCCATGGAACCCTCCAGGCAAGAATACTGGAGTGGATTGCCATTCCCTTCTCCAGGGGATCTTCCCAACCCAGGGATCACAGCCAGGCCTCTTGTATTGGCGGGTAGCTTCTTTACCATCTGAGCCACCAGGGGAGCCCTGATGATCAGATAGCAGACATTTAATTTCTTAAAACATGTGATTTATATTTGGCAGGAATGATATTTTTTACATTGGATTTGTTTTTCAGCCCAGCAGTAAATATTTTGATAAAACAGGTCTTCTATCTTCTTATAATTTGATGAAATATCCCACAATCTTACATTTGATGCTAATTTTTTTCACATACATTTTTTTTTCCTTAATTGGGTCATAATTGATTCTCTGTGATACAGAGAAATAATTCCATAATGATATAGCTCTCATTTTGTCCTATTAAATTCTCATTTCATTCTTTCTTATAATTGCCCTAGTTTAAATTCTTTTAATCAATCTTTCTTTTTTTTTTCCTCATTGTGAATTCCTTTTTTTTCCTCCTCCCGGAACGATTAACCATATTATTTCCCCAAGATTATGACAATATCTTTCTATAGGAAGCCACACTTCCCAGTTTTTTTTTGATGTGGGAGTTTGATGGCTTCATCCTTTTAAGTTTTTCCCCAAGTCAACAAGACGCAGTTTCTCAACAAGAATTTTACTTTTTACATGTAAATATGACACTATCAATCAATGACCAAAGGAGTAAAACAATAGCCAACATTTATTAAGCAATTACTATATGCTATGGCACCTTGAAAAGCACTTCACATGCATTTTCTCCTTTAATCTTCAAAAACATTCTTTCAAATAAATGCTATTGTTCCATCCACATTTACTTTGTAACTGGACAAATTGATATAATGATAGATTTATTTATTTATCCAAGATCACAAAGCAGATAAGCAATGAAGCTGGACTGCATTTGAAGCAGTCTGAGCTGAGGCCATCATAAGTAGGGCATGATCATGGTTGCCGATAGCACATGTTCAGAAAGACATGGCAAAAAAAGGCTCCTCTGCTATTCCAAGCATAATGCCCAGTATGCTGCTGTATGCCTGAAATCCTAAGTAATTAAATATTATACAATATTTAAAATCTCAGCATAAATAAGCCTATCAGACAGAACCCAGACAGAACCTTTCCAGCTTGTCTGAAGAAGTTGTATCAGTTTTTCAGCAGAATTAAATTAAGGAATCTCCCTGGTAGGAGAAATCTAGATTACTGACTATGCTGGAAGATTGTAGTCAGAAGGAAAATCTTCAAATCCTCAAGAACTTTAGACACAATACTTAGACAAACTATCTTCCTCACAAACTATGTACAAGCATCTAGCATATGGTGAGACAGGACAGATGCTCTCTGCTTTTAACCTAACAATTCATCTCTGTCTTCATCAGAGGCCTCAAATAATATTAATAAGAAATACAGAAACTATGGAGTAGGGAATATTCTATGCTTTAGTAAACAGTCTTTATTGAAGGTAGCAGTCAAAATTAGATTTAAACAATCATTAGTTGTGGAATAAAACTAAGAAGGAACTCCTCTTTTGGACATTAGTAGGCAGTATCTAGTTACTCATAAACCAGAAAAAAAGAGTCTAAATGGAATTTTCATCCACTTTGCATCATTTTCACACTGTCTTACTTATGGGTATCATATTTTCCCACTGCTTCCACTAAAGGACAAGTTGAACAGTCTGATGGAAGTTTATACAATATTGTCATTTCAAATACAACATATACCAACTGCTGGAAATACATCTTCATAGGCATGAAACTATTATTATACCACTTTAGATTGAGTTTGCCCATTTTACACTCATACTACTACACAACTTTTGGGGATGGGTAGGTAAAAGACTGTTGGTGAAAATGATGAATGAGATCTTCAGATATTTATTGGTTATGGAACTGCGGGCAACTCACTCGTTGAGTCTCAGTATTCTCATGTCTAAAGTGAGGCAGTTGGAGTAACTAATCCCTAATGTGTCACATTAAGCCAAAGTCTATGAAGCTACAGAGACACCTGCCCAAAGAAGAGAGAGAGGTCACACAAAAAGGTTTTCATTAAAAAGAGAGAGAGAGAGAGAGATTAAACAGAACTAGTTCTTTTAGAAGACTATTCACATCTTGGAATGGCATGGGTTAATAACAAAAGAGAGTTCGTTAGAAGTGTCATTAGCTGAGCCAAATAAGGAGGTAAATGAATCAAGTAAAATAATATTGTATTGGAAGGACCAAAACAGATGAGGGGAAATGGACAGGAGGAACAGGAATACTCAGAATGAGGCAAAAGGTGGTTTACATCACTCCAGCATTATTCATACTACCAAACACCTCAAAGCATTACTTAAGCAGTAAGTGAAATAATAGTCAAGTTCTGTCTAAATTGCTCAATCTAGAAGTTTGAAGCAAATTGTAGCTGATTTTATTTAACAAAATTATTCAATCAAAATTGCAAAAGAGCTAATCTGCTCAAGGTTCAAAAGATATGGCTGGTTTATTTTCTGAAGCAAGCCAAGATGCAGTCCATCAGACCACAGCTTTCAGATGTCAGTGTTCACTACACAGAAAGTTAACATATTAAGATATCAATTCTTCTCTTGTCATTTTCACTGCCACAAGTACACTTCCCATTTTAACTAAAAAGCAGTATTTTGAAACTCATATATGAAGAAAACACACTTGCCACAGCTAAAAACATAGTTTCATTTTTTTTTAATGCTAGTAAGCTATGAGAAACTCCATTCAGCAAATCAATAGAATTTCACTCAGATTTTTTCTCACTTATGTCAGTGTGTGCATCTCCAGTAGTCTTAATATGCAAATCAAGCCTTTTTCTTTTTAATTTTCAAAACTGAACAATTTTCCTAATCCTTATACAACTCACAAACGCATTTGAAATATTTCAAAAGAAGTGAAAACAAGTGCCTTCACTTCCATTTGACCCGTAAATGCATTTATGTATTCAGTTGAACTGACTGCTCTTCTTTTGCGTTAGGAAAAGCTGTTTCGAGGACTTTCTACAGAAAGTAATGTCTGACTAGCAGGTCACAGGCCATTTACCGGTTTGGATTTGGGGAGCCCCGGCAGGTAAACGGGCAGTTTTGCTGTAACATGTCGACAGAATTTTTAGGCTGATGTGTAACTGTAAAACATGCCAAAGTGATTTTAGATACTAGAGGAGGCTGTCCCAGGTGCTCTGGAAAGTGCCAGCTACTTAGAAGTTGCAGCACTGGCGGGGGCACGCTGCCCAGACCCCAAGAGCGCTTCCACCTCCTCGCGTCCCGGGTCCCCGGCCAAGAAGCCCGCGGCAGCAGCCGGCGGAGGGGCAGCCTGGTCCCCACCGCCAGGAGCACGGTCTCCGCGGGACCCCCGGGCCGGCCGGTCTCCCTCCCGCCTCCCGGCCGCGCGCGCACCCACCTGGGGGCGCTGAGCCGCCTGCAGGCTGCTCGCAGTTCCCGCGCGCCCAGCCTGGCGCCGCTGGCAGCATCGCGGCCGCTGAAGCCCGGGCGCCTGGACGCGTGCCCGCCGAGCCCGGACTCTCCCGATCTGAGGTTCTCCTCGACCTGGTTTCCGGGCCTCGCTGTCCTCAGCCCGCTTCCCACCGCGGCTGCTGCGGCCGAGGTCCCGGAAACGCAGCCCCGGGGCGCGGGCCCTGGGCGAGGGCTCGCCGCGCTGGGCTCCCTGCGGAAGTGAAACTGCTCCGGGGCTCGCGTTGGTCTCCTTTTTAGGCCACTTTGGTTTCTCCTAACACTCTTCGGGCCAGTTCCCTCCTCACCTTTTCACTCAGGACATTTTTAGAGCGAGGTTACCCGTTCCTGTCGACTTTCTTGTCCCATTCAAGGGCTTCCACGATGCCCCCGCTTCCTGGAAGAAAGGGTTACCAGAGCTAGACCCGTACTGGAAAAGAGAGGCAGTTGTTCAGTAGCTCAGTCGTGTCTGACTCTGCGACCCCATGGACTGCAGCACGCCAGGACTCCCTATCCCTCTTTATCTCCCAGAGTCTACCTAAGTTCATCTCCATTGAATCGGTGATGCCATCCAGCAGACCTACAGATATGGATGAGTCAGTAAAGATTATTACAGATAATAATGTAGATATAGATACATAGTTGGGAGTCTTTTGGTTTGTTTTGGGTTTGTTTGCTTTGATATTGCATTTTGCCCAAACATTTTAGGTTAGATCCATAAATTATGTACTGTATATTTCCTACTCCTGCTCAAAACTGGGCCTAGTTAAGAAACAAAATAGACATGGATCTAAATTGGTCCTTGGTTTGTTTGTTTGCCCTAAAGCCTGAAATACTCAAGAGTTTCCCCAAAGCCTTAAAATAAACATCGCTTCTTCTCTCAGGGATTTCTAAATTAGCAATTTACATTCTGAAGTTAAAAATATTTTTGAAGATCATCTTGAAGAGTTGGTAATTGTTCATGCCTAAATGTCCCCCTCTCTCTTTTTATGAAAGTAACCTAGAAAGGAGGCTTATATACCAACTATTTATATTTGCAGACCAACTATTTGATATTGATATCATAAAGTCTCTTTTAGAAATGACACAAATCAAGTATCGAAACTTTTTTTCACATAGCTGAATTTGTTTTACATTTTATATCGTGATGAAGTAAACTGGGAGAAATATGTCAGCAAACTTGAAAGCTATTATAGATATATTTATATATATACATTCAATATATATTCCAATTGTTCCTTTAACCTCATTGTTAACTTTAAGTTGATTTCCTGTATTTGAAATAATGGAGCAGAAGATTTTATTTAATTTATGAAATAATATCATATTGACAAATTTATTGTCTTCTCCAAGTGCCTCTTTACCTAGAGACCACAGTACAATAAGGTAAAAACAGAGAGTTTGGATTAAAGAGTATATAAACTCTTGGTCAATATTTTCAGAAATTCAGTTCTCAGGAAAGTGTAAGTCTTCTTAAACCAATCCGTTGGGGAGACAGTGTTCTCACTGATGCATCTTCACAAAAGATACTTTGACCAAGATTCTGAGGAGAAAGTGATAGACACCTTCTAACTCCTGCTTGCCAGTTAAGTGTCCATCTCTTCAAAAGCATCCCAGTTTTCTCTATGTAAATACACAATGCTCATTCCCTCCTTGCACACAAAGAGTTGTTCACAAGGATAATCTTCAGATAGCAAATTATATCTGTCACATATCAAGTAGCTTTCTTGTATGAAGAGCCCTGGACTGGAAGTCAGAAGGCTGTGGCTGCCATCTTGACTTTCCTCTTCACTATCTGGGGAGCTGGGGCAATTCTGTTATTTCTGAGCCTTGCATAATCCCAGCTAAATGTGGAAATTGAAATAATTATACTCAGGACTCTGCCATCTATACAGTTTTATGACAGTGTCTCCTCTAATAAGATAACAATATTTATAATATATAGGATAATTAAGTATTTTCAGATACTTCCACAACTTTATCAGTATGATCCTGGTAAATGGAAAAAATGAAAACAAAAATGTGTCTAAAATTTAGGGCTGTTTATATTAACTTATTTTATTAAATAAGATTTCGTGTTAGAAAAGCTTAAAAATCTATAAAGTTCAAAAATTATTCTAGCTTTGTTTTTGTTTCAGGTACTGAATGAGAACACAGCTCTTGTTCAAAGATTTTGATGTAACAGTTTAGCCTCTTATTTGTTCACTCTTGTTTAATTAATATTGCTATTAACAGCTACTCTGTTTTAAGTATTATGTGTGCCAAGCACCATGTAAGTGATTCACAATGTTCATGTGATTTGGTTCTCAAAGCAATCTTTAGCCATATTTTACAAATGAGGAATCTGGGTTTTAAAAGTTTTAAGTAGACAGAACTGGAATTCAATCCCAAATCTGACCCCATAGCCTTCTCCCTTAGTATAAGCCTTCTCTTCCTTTTAAGTTGCTTAGTTATTGCTAAAGATTGCATGGACATCATAGACAAGGTTATACATATATATATATATATATATATATATATATATATAAAAAAAAATTGCTTCTGTTTTACTCCTCTTCTTTCCACAGAGCAAAAATCTCATAGAAATGAACATCTATTTCCTTCAAAACAGATTTGAATTGAACTCATAATTCATTATAATAGTGGCACTATTCAGTTGAGAATATGTAGACATTGTTTTCACAAAGAAAAGAAAATGTGTGGAGATCACATACAGAGAGATCATGAACAAAATCTTACATATATTCTACCTTTGCCTTTGCATATGAAAAGATATTTTAGAAATATTTTCACTCATTTTGGTCTTCTCAGTGCCAGATAATCTTTAGTCACAGTTGACTTTATTTTCTCTCAACCTTCTCCCCTAAGGAAATGATACTGTCTAAAATGCTGGGTTAATCTCTTGGTTCACATTTGTTCTCAGACAAGAGGCACTTAGTAATCCTCACACTGAGATGCTTTTTCAGGCAGAATGCGACCAGCAGCGTGTAATCACAGGTTTCTGATTTTTCCCCTGTTACAGAATGACAAAAAATGCTATCCACAGTTGGTTTCTAGTTTCTCAATATATCAAACTCTTGGATCCATTGACTTCTTCCCTTGTATTCTTTTTAACAGCATATTGACAGCTTCAGTCTGATTACCCCACGCAGTAGAGATTATGAGCCTCATGCTGACTCTATGTTCCAATAACTGGATGGCTGAGGCCCTGTTGCCCTGTTGCAGCTGCATGACTGATTCCTTGTGCCCTTGCAGACTGGATGCTTTTGCTAGTTCTGCTGGTTTCATTTTTACTTTTAGATTCTGGATCGTTTAAAAAAAAAAAAAAACTGGTTCTTTCCTAAAGCAGAAAGATATCATAAAAGTGAAAGAGTACATTTTTTCTTCATAGTTATTTATTATCAGAGAATTTTCCTCTTGAAGCAAATGTCCAGATCTTTATACATATATTATTCTCATGAAAGAAAGTGAAAGTGAAAGTCACTCAGTCCTGTCTGACTCTTTCAGACCCCGTGGACTATACAGTCCATGGAATTCTCCAGGTCAGAATACTGAAGTAGTAGCCTTTTCCTTCTTCAGGGGATCTTCCCAACCCAGGGATTGAACCCAGGTCCCCCGCATTGCTGGCGGATTCTTTACCAGCTGAGCCACAAGGGAAGCCCATAATATTCTCATAGAGTGTTTTATTTTCTAGCTCAAAACTAGACCAAATACTAGGAAGGTTTGAAGGCATTTCCTAGCCATGGTACTTTCCCTGCTATTGTTACTGAGAGACCTTCTTCGTTTTCTTTTCCTTCCTCACTTTTAACTGAATTCTTTCATACTAACCTAACCGTGTGATGGGCCCCCTAAAGATGTCCTATTACCTAACATTACATGGAAGGTGAAATTAAGTTAAAGATACTGAAATGGGAAGAGTCATGTGGATTATCCAGGTAAATCAATGTAATAACAGGGTATTTATAAGATGGAGGCAGGAAAGTCAGAGAAGAGACATGATGAGAAGCAGAGATTAGAGTAATGTGCTTTGAATAATGTCTGTGTGTGTGGGGGGGGGGGGGGGTGCCCACAAGCCAAAGAATGTAGGCCTCCTCTAGAAGCAGGCAAAGACAAGGAAACATATTCCCCTCCAAAGCCTCCAGGAGAAACCAGTCCTGCTGAAACCTGGCTTTTAGCCCAGTGGGACTGATTCTGAATTTCTGACCTCCTGGACTGTAGAATAATAAATGTGTTTTGAGCTACTAAGTTTGTGGTAGTTTGTTAGAGTAGCAATAGAAAACGAATATCAACCTAAGGTGATAAATTGAGTGTAGGGATATAATTCATTAATAGGGAAAAAATAATCTTCTTCTAAATAAACATATATTAAAGAAAATTCAACTCCTTTTCACATTAATTTGCTAAATCCCTATGGAGTAACATTTCACTGTTAATTGGTAGTTGTGGTGGCTCTTTGATATTCCTTCCTGCAGGGCTATTTGCATTATGTACTTGCCTCTGTTCTCTAGTGGTTGAGCAGATGTGCTGAATCTTCACTTTTCTATTCAGTTGAGAATGACTTATGGAATTCACCAAGTTTTCTGCTTATACAGTAGCTGACAATCCCCCCACCCCAGCCACCCCTGCCTATGCTAACAAGTGAAAGTAAGTTTGCTAGAAAGGAGCTTGATTATTATAACTGAGTTTTAACAAACAACACTATAAAAATTTTAAGTGTCAAGAAATATAAAATTCTCTATTTCTCATTTGGCCGTTTTGACTTTTTTTGAAAACTCTGATAATTTGTTTCTGTGTTTAGCCAAAATTATTGACTAGATAAGGTTTTCAGCCCTACTCTGTACCCTACTTAGAATGTTTTCCTTAGCACTTAACTCACCAGCGGTCTCTCAATGGCTGAACCTGTTAGCTTCAATCTACAGGATTGATAAATGCAGACTTTGCTCTTCACATTTTCATTATTCATTTATTTGTTAGTTCATTCAAAGAGATTTTAGTAAATGCTTACTATCCCCAAAATACA